CTTTTAATTGACTACTTCAGGCTTTATAAGGCAACTCACAGCAGGGCATGGACTGTGCACTGTTTTTAGTTCTTCTCCCTAGTCAGTAAAGCTACTTCTTTTAATTTTAACTTCTAGTGCAGCTTTAATGTGAAGCCTGTGTAATAGTAATAAACACATTCTGATAAAGCTTATTTTGTCCATTCATACGGCTATAACAAAATGCATTGCTTTTCAAACGGACAAATCACACACACAGACACACACACACGCACACTGCAAGAGAATGACCCATTGACCTTATGATATTGAAAGGTCAAAACTCCTCAAAGTTATCCAGAGACTACAGAAATCACTGGCTTGCAAAAGGACCCCATGTTTCCATGGCAACAGATCAAATGACCTCATCGACCTTGAGCTGCATCAGTGCTGCTGTCTGAGCAAAACGTGTCTCTCATAAATACACACACACACACACACACACACACACACACACACAGACACATGCACACATGAACACAGACAGCTTCTAAAGTCAGGCTACACAGCCGGGTATTCATCTGTGTGTGTGTGTGTGACCGCATGTGTATCTGTCTGCCAAGCTCTCCTCACAGCCAGTGGTTGAACTGACCTGGTATTAGAGCTCCTTCTAGTGGCCACAAGTCTTTACTCTCATTTCCACCCTGTTACATCCTCTTCAGGGAGGCATTTCCAGCCCTGCCATGATTTATAACTCGCTCAGTTCACTACAAACCAGCCCAACTTGTCTGTATATTACGTTTCAAGTTCTGAGCAACACCAGAAATTAGTTTATTTTATGTTATGTAAATTAAACAAAGTTATCCTTATTAATGTGTAATATCATACAGTGTCTATTCACAATTTGTGTGCAAGCTTTAAAGAGTTTTCTGTACGATTTCAGACTGAGTTATAATGTAAAAACAGAAGATCAGTGCTTAGTCTTAAACCCTACTCAAGCTGGATTACTTTTACCAGATAAGGTCCAGTAATTTGTAAGGGATTCAAGATTCAGATTACAGTCCTGATAAAGGAACTGTGTCAAGAGCTCAATTTCAGCAGTATAACTAAAGGAGCTCCACATTAGGCAAATTATAGAAGGTGATTCACTCTGGAATCGTTAGGCTGTGTTCACATTAGCAAGATAAAGTGGCACAAATCCAATTTTTGGCCTTAATGTGACAGATCAGATTTTTTTCAGAACTGTGTAAACGCACACAACCTGACTTTTTCAAACCAGATCTCAGCCACTTTGGCTATGTTCACATTACAAGCCTCACCGCTCAATACAAGTTTTTTGTCAGAGCCGATCTTCCTAACTTGGTGGTCCACATTCCTGTAGGTCAGTGACTCAAATCTGTCATGAATGTGAATGGACCTGAGTCCCAGATGCACACATCCTAATCAATAACGTCAAGTGAATTAACCATGTGTATCATGCACAACAAACAAACTAAACAGCAGAACAAGCCTTCATCACAAAGAATGTGCAAAAACAGATCCCTATCCTGGAAAAAGCAAGAAACACTTTTGGAGCGACTGTGAAAGAGACTACATGTTTGACAAAATGAAGAATTTATGTTATTCTTCATCATCCAGATGACGCATATTCATATTTTCTGTCAAAAAAACCTGGCATGATGATGAGTTTTACCTCACCTTTACAGCATGTCTTCTTCTGAGGTTGCAAAGCAGAAGTCTGAGTACTGCCTGACTCATGTAGACCCGGAGTTTTCCCATCATATGACTACCCAAGTGCATGTAAACGTACCGAATGACTGACAAAATCAGATTTTTTATCATATTATTAAGTGCCTGAAAACATACCTATTGATTTTGCACCATTTACTAGCACTACCTTCAGGTTAGCTGCTGCTGCCATAGTAACACTGAATGATGGTGCATGCGCAGTGAAAGACATCCACATGAATTCCGTTCCGATTCCGATGAATTCTAAGACTACATGGCCACGAATCAGATATGCATCCGATCTAAGACTGCGTATAAGAATTGGCTCAGATCTGATTTGAAAAGAACAAATTTGTGTGTCCACACAGCTCTGAAAAAACAGATCTGTGTTACATTAAGGCAAAAAATCAGATTTGTTCCACTTAATCTGGCAATGTGAAAGTAGCCTTTCACACTTGGTCCTAGATCAGATACATATGCGATCCACTGTGCCACCGTGCCGCCCCCTTGTCCATACATTCAAGAAATAAAATAAATATTATAAGAAAGGATAATATGGATCAGACATGGAACAGAGCGAGATGTGAGTGAGGAGCGGAAAATAGAAAACCCGGTGCGGAGCTGGAGCAGAGTAATTACGGAAAATGTTTGAGTGAGGAGTAGAAATGTCTGCTGCTCCATTCCACTCACATGCTCTGCATGCCAGCACAGGCCGAGGAACGCATTTCAATACATTTTATTATTGAAAAATTGCTGGGGGAAATTGGTTGGTTTTCTTGTTTTTTTTGCTCCTAAGATAATATGCCAGCATGTTAGTTTGCCAGATCAATGTATCTCCTCTGCTTATGAACATACAAAAAGATGGTTCTTCAAGGGTTCTTCAGTAAAGAGAATGGTTCTGTTCAGAACCATGAGTTCTTTACATGGTGAAATAGTTCCTCCAATTGATAGGGAATGTGTTGTACATGGTTCTGAGAGCTACTCAGAGCAAATTACCCCCAAATTACCCTCATATCAGTAGAAGAACCCAAAAAGGTACGATACAAGCTTGACATCAAAACCATAAAGGAACCCTTTTAGCTCCTATATAGAACTATTTTCAAAAAAGATTCTAGATATGATAGAATCAATCTGAAGGACGCTTTCACCATGCAAAGTACCATTTAAGCAAGAAATGGTTCTGTACAGAACTCATGGTTCTAATCAGATCAGTTTCCTTTACTAAAGAACCATTCTTTTAAGAGTGTAGCTAACATCAGCTAGCCATCTCTGGCTTTTTTAAGTCCTTGATAGCAAATCCTTGGCAACATGCAACACAGTGAGACACTCATGTTTTGGAATAGCAAAGTACAACATACTCACAAATATGTGCAAATGTTTCACATTGTACAACTTTGTTAAAACATAAAGTCAGTATTTTACTGATGTGTTAAGGACTTTACACACCAAATGTGATTTATTTGTGCGATTTACTCAGATGACAGTAAACTAATTCTAGCAAGTGTATAACTGATGGGATTTTTCACAAGAAAAGTGATTTTTTGGATGATGAAAATGTGACATTACTTTATTCGACCCCTGTTTGATTTATGCAAACTTTCACCAGCGACAAACTGGACTACAAATGCCTAGTTATTTGTGGAAGAACTCAAAGTTTCAGCTTCTGAATGAAGTGATGATTTTTTTTTCATGGCACGAACAATTGGGCAAAATTCCAATTGGGCAGAATTGTGTCACGTGTGGTCTATATAGTTTTGATGTGAAAAATAATAATTATGATTTTCTTTCAATTAAAAAATAAATATGTAGGACTCTTGCCTCATTCTGAAGTCCAACTCTGCATGTTCACTTCAAAAGAAAAAAAATCCTCTCCAAACCAAATGAGTTGCTCTCTCCACGATTGTACATTAACAAAAAATTTGCTTGTATAACTGCCACAAACATATAATAAATAAATTTCACGTTGACCTTTTGCCCTGAGGGCCATCTTACGACATATGACATAACTGGCATGCTGACAACACTGGCAACTGATAACAAACTAAAGGCTTTGCAGTAATGGCAGAGGTTGCTAAGCAACGTTTGCTAAGCAATGATTGGAGGGCTGAGGAAAAGCAGGTGGAGCTTGGTGGAAAGTGTAATGATTTGTTTGGCCATAATACAATGACAGCACCCAAAGAATAAAGTTCAATAAAACATTCTTTCCTCATTTGATTGGGTAGCCCTGTGATCAATCTGGGTAGGCCCAGGCCCACCCAAGCCTACCTGTATCTTTTGCCCCTGCTTTGAAAGTGTTTTTCAAAATCCAATGGAAGAAATACAGTCAAGAGTGTGAAAAACACACACACATGTATTATGAAAGTATGTATGAGGTGTAGCAACACGTCTAAAGAGGAAAACCGGGGCTGTGTATCTAAACCAGCTGCAATTGAGGAAATGGTAAAAGCAATCCAAGCATAAGCCGCAGCATTTTTCAAATATGCAACCAGGGTCTTTAGGCCCTTCCCATTTCACCCCTTGCCACTTAGCCCTTAGCCCTCCGTTTTGTGCGTTCACACCTAGGGGTAGGGTGTCCCAATTTTTGTTGAGGCACACTCCAAACAGAGCATTATGAGACAAAAAGAAAACATGGCAAAATGGCTGTGCAAGCGACCAAAGAAATCCACAAATGGAAGTATTTTAAAAAATACGATAACCATTGTATTATCTTAGTTTAATGTTGTGACAATGTATTATCATCCTTTTCTTCATAACAAGCATAAAAATGTATAGTAGTATGCTGATGTCTCGGTAGCTAGCTAGCTAAATTTCCTGTTCCACCTTAAATGGTGCAGCAGTTGCATTCTGGCACCTAAGGGGTCAGAACTGCTGCAACAAGGTGGAAAAGAAAGTTCGAACAAGAGGCTGGCGAACAGCTGACTTCAGCTTCATATGACTGAAGAATTAGGGGTGGGCAATTAGAAATAATTGTCTCATCCCCCTCTTTGAAGGCATATGATTCCCTAAATTGAACTAAAGCCCAGCAGTGAGGTTTCTGAACTTTACCTTCCTCTGCTTTCACTGCAGACCGGGAGGGTTGCCTACAGAGCAGCGCTAGTAGCCTGTTAATGAAGTAATGTCCTTTTTATTTGAGGATTGTCCCATTTCGTAGAGGAAGATTTCAACCACTACCCCTTGTAACTCAGTTCTAAGGGGCAAGGTGACACAAGTGGTAGGAGAAAAAATAAGAAATGGTATTGGGCCATAATCTTAAGCTGTAGGATCTCCTTAGTCCACTGAAAGAAATGGCTCTAAAGTCAGCATTTGTTTCTTACCTTCTCTGCCTCCTCAGTTGACTGGTAGCCAAGGCTCGTGTCCAAGAGGGCGGGGCTGTTGGGTGTGTCGGAGGAGGAGGACGAGCGCGAGTGCTCTGCCTGCAGCACTGCATCATGGGTGGCATGGCGAAGGATCAGGGGGCTTCCTCTCAAAGGCGGGTCCACCGCGGTCCCGCCCACTTTGGCCCGACGGCTCTGCAGGCTGGTGCCTCGCCTCATGCCGGTGGGCGGGGCACTGCCACGTCCGCCAATGGCAGCTGCAGAGGGGGCGGGACCAAAGCGCAGGTCATTCTCAGGGTCAAGGGTTTGGTCCAAGGGGTCACATTTAGGGTCCTCACAAAGGGGAACAAACGAGAAAGAGGAGGAGCAGTGGGAGGAGTCAAACGAATGTGGGCGGGGCAAGTATTTACGATGAGGCTGAAAGAACTGCCTCAAGCTCTGACCCAGCGCTCCCACCCCACCCAGGGCACTGTGGGTAATTTTGGACAGAGCATGCTGCGACTGAAGTGACCTCTTTACCCCTGATCCAGGAAGCCTAAATCGCTTGGGTACCAGTGGATTACGGCTGGAATGTGGAAACAAGCTCCGCCCTTTTTTGTGGGCAGATGTGTCAAAGGCACTACCACCGTGATCCATTAGAGGGGGCTAGTGTGCTTCTTATGCAGAAAGGCCTTTCAGAATAGAGGTGTGAGCTAACAAGAGTTTGGATGTGACATTCAATCAATTGATATGTTTTTCAGTTGGCTTGAATCCCGTCAGCAGCATTCTATTGGCTCTCCTGAGGTCATGCATCGGTCAGTCAGCTGAAAAGCATGCTTGTTTAACAGAGGGAAAACAACACAGACCATTCATTATTGGTGGAGGTTAACAGAACGAAGTGAGAGACTGACAAACCAACAACAGACAGGACAACTAATAGTGCATATTGAAAGATGTCAATCCATATAAACGCCACAAACTTAGGAAATGTTTAGGACATAGGGCTGGCCAATTTGAACTGCCCAGTATTGGAAGCAATATAATGACACAGACTATGTGTCCAAAAGTCTACAGACATGCCTTCTAACTGGTGAATTTGGCTATTTTAAAGTGCACACTTCCGAGGCCATAGTTCCGTGGAGCAGGAACTATGGCCTCGGAAGTGATGGAGCTCCATCCAATACCTTTTGGATGAACTGGAGTGGCGTTTGTGATCCAGAGCTAGTCATCTAACATCACTATCTTACTTCACTAATGCTCCTGTGGCTGAATGCAATCAAGTTCTCACAGCAACGTTCCAACATTTATTGTAAAGCCTTTTTAAAAGAGTAAAGCTGGTACTTCAGCAAAGAGGGGACAAACTTCCTCCTGATACCCTTAATTTCAGAAGAAACACTGGGTCACAAGCAGGGGTCTACAAACTTTTGGACATATAGTGTATCATGGCATACAAAACAAAAACCTCTTCATATTCATGCAGGATTTTATGGTTTTCAGGCAGTAAAAAAGTCAATAATGAAATGTTATACATCATATGGCTATGATAAAAGTCATATTAGTATTCACTTTTATGTCATTATTCCTCCTACCCTATATTAATATAAAATTAATCTTCAGCCATCCATTATTAAATGATCTGTCATCGTCAAGCAATAGAAAAATGTTTCACCACCTAAATTGATTCATCTTCTAAATGGAACTCAAACCAAAACTCATCCAAAGATGGAACAGTTAACAGCATTGGATAAAAATCAGCAACACACACACACCAGCACATCAATCACAAACCAGCAGCACAATCACAAACCAGCAGCACAACCACAAACCAGCATAGTCTTGTAGTTTTTGTTTTTTTTTACACAATCACGGAAGATTTTACCCAAATCTGGAGTAACATTTGTGATCCAGACTGAATTTCACATAAATGCAGAATTACACATAACTGCACTCAGTTTCTTATGCTACCATGTTCCTCAGTTCACTATTAGCAGCATAGCGTTGAATTATGAACATCAGCTACCTTAGTACCCCACATGGAAATGTGGGAAGAAGTCTAGCTATTCACTTGCAACACCGCAAACCAGTAGTACAGTTAGGATGGTTAACAACTTTTTTCCATGTTGAAATTATGGAAAGCAAAAACAATCATGGGTTTGGGGAAATAGAGAAGGGCTGTGGTGCAGAACTGCTGTAGTTTACTTATTTATGTTCTGTCTTGATACATATTTACTGTATATGGGTCATTGACGTGATGTGCATTTTTTGTGTCCAAGTCCATTATTTTCCCAAAGATTATTTACTAAATACATGACATTTACATATACATATATATATATATATATATATATATATATATATATATATGTGTCACGTATATATTTATATACATATATTATTTTATATGTATAATATTTAACAGTAACTCTTTTATGTGAAACAATTTTCAGTGCAGTCAGTTAAAATTCATTTTAGTTTATTTGCCTCCAAACATCTAAAAATGTCAGGTGTCCAACCACATAAGTTAATTGAGTAAACTATCAAAAAGGGTAATTCAATTATATAAAACTTTAAAAATAAAAAGTTAATGCAAAATAAGCCAACTTTAAAAGTGCTCAACTCAATGAAAAACTTTTGTCCACAAATTCTTACTTCCTGAAATGTCAAACAGTACAACGAAAAACAAAGGACTCTGACATGTTTTTACAAAAGATGGGCCAGGCTATTGTATCATAAGTTACCTTCATGGTGCAATGCCAAGGTCAGTAGCCCTTTCACAAATTTTGGAAAAATTGTCACCTTTGAGTAATTTTTAGAATGGTTCAATTTACAGTGTCAGGTGGTGTGCCCTCAGGAATGTGTAATTGCTATAATAATGTTTATTATTTGAAAAAAAGTAAGTATAAACTCAAGTTCAAGGAGAAAAGTTTCTATGGGTGTCTTAAGTACATGTTGGTTTAATTTGAATTTAGTCTGAAAAGTCAGGTGGCACAACCAGTAAGTCAAATGGGGCATCCAGACCAGCACAGTTTAAATAACTGAAACAGGCAATTAGAAGCTTTCATAACACTAACTATATTTAACATATAAAATGCACATAGATATATATGCAAATATATATGCTGATATAAAAAATGCACATCATGTCCATTTTAAAAACTGTCATTTTGAAATAATTATGTCATTGACCCATATTACACCAGAATACATGTTATTAGGAAATGTGTATTATCATATGTAATCATAATTATGAATATTCATCAATATTGAATGATATGGTAAAATATATTGTGATTAGATGTTTGGCAATGTGTCTCACAGATGGACATAAGTGTCTAATGGAGAAGAAAAGTGCAGACCTACACCATCTGCTGGTTGCATTTAAAACATTTTGAAGCACAGGGGGCAGTTTGATGATGTTCCTTCCCTATTAGCAGGGCTCAAATCTAAAGCCATTTGAATCATAAAAAGGTCAAGATAAAAATACAACAAAAAATATCTGATAATGGATTTCGTCTTGCACAAAAATCACATATAGTTTATACACTCAAACCAGCAGTGATATGCAGTCATCACTTTGCATCATCAAAAATGTTTGGACCATCCTACTTGAATCCCTATTATACAGCCTGTATGTTATGCATTTGCACAAAAACGTCCACCAGGACAATGCCATAAACATCACCAGATAAAGGCATGTGAGTTAGCTACACATTCATTTGACTGCAGAGAAAAGCAGTGAGAAAGAGGCACAAAAGGCACTTACCATCAGATCAACACAGCCCGGCTTTTCTCAAAGTACAGGGTCAGCTAAACAGAGAAAGAAAAGTATGAGAGAATTAAACAACAGATAATAGGTAATAGTTATTAATAAATAAAAATAAGTAGATAAAGGTAGGGTGCTCAACTTCAAAGACTGTTTTGTCGTCTAAAATATTTAATTATTATTATTAAATTTGCATGGTGAATAGGTTCTTCAGATTGATGGAGAATGTGTTACATATGGTTCTATATAGAACCTTTTTGAAAATGGTTCTATGTAGCCCTGTAACAGGTTCTGCCATTGTTCCAATTTCAAGCTTGTAATAATAGTCAATAGTCAATAATCAATCTTAAAAACAATTTCACCCTGCAAAGAACTATTTAAGCATGAACATGATTCTACATGGAACTCATGGTTCTAGATAGAACCACTGCTTTTCTAAAGAACCCTTGAAGTATTATTTAAGGGTAGACTGTTTCAGCTATGCAACATTCTTTGGTTTTTTATTTTATAGACAACAATATCAAACAGTGTCAGAAACCACATACGCAAGTCAGTTGGAGATTATTTAGGTAACTCAAAGACATAAATTAAAACACAAAAATGATCTATGTTGAGAAATAAGTGAATACTCATTTTTATGTATTACTGTTATGCCCAAGAACCTAATAGAAATGGTTTGGAATGTCCCCAAACCTCAACACTCATTAAGAATGCGAAAAGACCTATAAATATACATGATTATGCAAATTGTAAACGCCCTCTTGCTGCCCCATTTTTCAAACCCCGCCCCTTCTCCCCACTGCTCTGCATGTTGAACATAGACTGTATATAAGATATGACTCTAAAAAGAACCACTGTTTTTACTACAGACTACCACTGAAAGAACATTAAGTGTGTGAGCAGCCACTTTAGCAAGCCTGAGTTTTGTTGCTTCTTTTTATATAATTTTCATAGAATAATATGTCATACAGTGTCAGAAACAACATAAGCCTATTTGAGATTACTCTGCATGAGATTAAATAGCATGATGCTACATTAGCTTCATAGCTTCAGTGCTAAATAAGCAAACTCCACCCAGCATCAAAGTATATATAATATATATATATATATATATATATGTACATACACTTTTGAAAAAAGAAAAAAGTATGAAATTATGAATTTGTCTGTTTATATCAGCTTGTTTGTCTTTAGTCTATTTCATACTCATGTCATGCTGTTAAAACACTGTTGTAAAGCATGTATTAACCTGTTTTTTAACTCTTAAGGGTTGAATGGAGTGTTGACTTCAAACATGGCTGTTCATTGTTACATCAAATATAAATAGATACATGCAAATGTAGCTTTTGTTCTGTCCTCTCACACACAGAGACACTGCAGAAGAGAATGACCTTAAACAACATTTTCATATGGTGGGCTTATCCCCCTCCATCCAATTTTAATTCTGTTCCAATAATGCCGCCTGAACTGGAGGGGATTTGGTGTTTTCTTGATTGCCTGCTATATTTATTGTTGCTAAATCCTCTTCTGGCCAGCAGAGGACAAAGCCTCTGTCTTGGGGAGCGTGGAGATAGTTCCAGCTTTTCAACATGTCGTTTGGAGACGCTCCCTAAACTAGTAATAGAGAATAACTTTAAGTCCATTTGGATCCAGTTTCTTCCCCAGTGCTTGACATTTAGTATTAAACACTAAAACCTCATATTCAGTTTCAAAGCCCAGCTCAGTGCTTTCGCCTAAAGGGGAATTCCACCAGTTTTTCAAAATTTCTATGTTGTTCAAGATGTGGACAGTAATGCAGAGTGGTTTGATATGAAATGGTTCATTGTAGATAAACTTACCAGTATGGTGGTGATGGGAACCAGGAGTCACACTGTCTACAACACAAATACAGCTGTTTTACTTACTATCCTAAACAACCAGCCAACCTACTTGTGTCTCCTGAGTTTTTATATGTTGATCAGTTTGAAAAAATATGTTTTCTTTGGCTGCTATTTTTCCTTACAACACCCTGCATGTACCCTTCACTGAAGACAGAAAGCTTCTCGCAAAACTATCATAAAACAATGTGAGAGATATTTATGTGCCTTTCATGTAATAACTTTCTGTGATGGAGCTTTTAGCGTCAATGAATGCTTCGTTCATTGACTCTGGTTCCTATCAC